ATAGTCTCACTTGACTTTGACTTACACCCCTGACCTGGATAACAGCCCTGACCTCTTGTCAGATCTCGAGAGCTAAGCAGGGTAAAGCCCTGGCTGGTATTTAGATGGGAGATTCCCAAGGAATACCACGGTCATGTCGTGGAGGTAGGCAATGGCAAACTGCCTCAGAACATCTCTTGTCTTGAAAGCCCTACAGGGCACCAGAAGTCAGCTGTGACTTGATGGCAAAAAAGCAACTTGAAGTTTGGCACTGAAAGTATAGATTTAACCACAGCTCGTAAGACAAACGTCTGCTTCTGTGAAATAACAACGTGCTACATATTTAAGATCACTAAAGATAAAACCGAGATTGTAAATCACTGCAAATTTACCTGGCTAGCATGATCTGCGCTCCCGACTTCTGGATGGAGACGCACAAGGTGCTTCACTTTCCAGTGAGAAGCACAGTGCGTTTCGTTCTTAATTGCACATAAATTACTGTGATTATTGTATCGCTGGGGGGGGGGGAGAATGCATTTATCTGTTAATACCTCCGAGGAACAAATGTGAGCAAAGAGATTTATGCATTACATCCAAAAATAATGCCGAACAAAGGAATTTATGCATGCAGCGTAAGATGTATCGCACTTAAGAGTAATGGAAGGAAAATAAAAAAGGCCGGCCGTAGATCTTTAACCCCGAGAAAACCGAAATAGTCTATGCACTTGCCAGATTCTTAGCAGACACGCTCTGTTTGAAACGTGAATTCCTGTGTCTGGATCCGTGGCTTATGAACCTGGAAAGCCATCTTAGCCCGGGTCTGCTGGAGAACCGTTTTGCTTTGCACCTGGCTGTGGCCCTCCAAACAATGCGTAGCAGAGAATGTTTTCATTTATTTATTTAGTCAAATTTATACCCCGCCCTCCCAGCCTAGGACGGCCCAGGGCGGCTTACATAAAATCAGCAAAAACATTTAGTAATATAATAAAACATTTAAAACAGTATTAAAACACTTATAATTCCCTAAAGTGCTAGATTATAATTTCATTGAAGATGCCGGGAATCGAACCCGGGACCTTCTGCGTGTGTCCTATCGCTAAGCTTCAGCCCACCCCCAAATATAGAAAGTTAATTGCAAAGAAGAAGAAGAACAGATTGGATTTATACCCCACCCTGAAGGAGTCTCAGAGCGGCTTACAAACTCCTTTCCCTTCCCCTCAATGCAACAGACAACCCTGTGAGGGAGGCGGGGCTGAGAGAGCTCTGAGAGAATCTGCCCTTGAGAGAACAGCTCTGAGAGAACTTGTGATGGACCAGGGTCATCCAGCCAGGTGCAAGTGGAGGCATGGGGAATCAAACCCGGTTCTCTCAGATTAGAGTCCGCGCATTTAACCACTACACCAAACTTGTTCTCCAAGCATGCTCTTTGATGCCCAACAGGTAATCCAGTCCTGGTCATCTGTTGCAGGGCCCCCCCAACCTTTCTGAGCCTGCGGGCACCTTTGAAATTCTGACACAGGGTGGTGGGCACAACCACGAAACAGCTGCCATGGGAAGGAGAGCCAACCACGAAACGGCTGCCGCAGGAGGCAGAGCCACACACAGAGGAAGCCTGAGCACCGGGGAGGAGAGGTAGTTCTAAACATATGCCGGAAAGAGAACACCGCCAGCACTGAGGGGGCAGCTGCCACTGAAACGATGTTTTAATCTGCCCAGACATTCGTATCTCCAGCAGCCAATCAGAAGCCCTGCTGAGCAGGTGCCCCACCTGGCCCCACCCACTTTATAAAAACACTTGACGAGTGCCGGGAAAGGTGTCAACAGGTGCCAAAGGGCCCACCAAGCTCCACCATTAGGGATCCCTGATCTTTTGCTTCACGTTATGTGTCATTCTGTGTCATTCTGTGGGTCCCAACAGAAAAGTATTCGTCCCAGGGTTGCTACACAGAGGCAGACAATGGCAAACCCCCCTCTGAATGTCTCTTGCCCTCAAAACCCTGTGGGGTTGCCGCAAGTCACCTGTGACTTGACAGCAAAAAAATAATAAATCAGATCATCCGATTCCCACGATTGGCACCAGGAGCTTATATGGAGCCGATGACTCTTTATTACACAGCGAGTGGAAAGTGTCCGAGTAGCCCCGGAAGCTCAAGCGGCATCCTCGGTCCTTCGGCGGCTCAGCCTGTCACTTTGGATCGCTCTGCTCATTCGACATCCGGTTCTTAAAGCGTCTCTGCCCTGAAGAGGCTGGAGCCAGATGGGCAGACATCAGCCCGGGGGGGGGGAAGTAATTCTTTTCCATGGGTATGAAGTCCTCCCGGAAAAATCACACAGCGTTATCTGGATGCCGAAGGGGAAGCCGGTGGACTCTGGCGCTTTGAACCAAATCAATGCCGCTCTCAGTGTATAACCAGCAGAAGCCTGAAGCCACAGTAAGAACTGAGTACTGCATACTTCACAAGTAAGGCTCTTGCCGTGCATATTTTAAATGCGATGAGAGCTCAAAATAGCCACGCTGGGCCAAACTGACAGTCCTTGTTGTCCAGCATCCTGTTTCCAGAGTGGCCGACCAGAAGTCACACGGAAACAGGCCTGTAGCTACAGTGGGCATTTGGGGGCCCTGCCCCCTCAATCAAAAGCCCTGCCCCACAAACAGTCATGCCAGAAACCTTATTTTTGAGGAACTGCCCCCCAACTGCCTGCTGCTGGCAGCGGCCAAGGTGAGAGCACCACAGCTTGCCCACAGGCTCCCCTCTCCCTCCAGTTGTGGGGGGGCAGCATGCGACCCAGGAAAAGACAGCTCCAGAGGGCATCTAAATGGCTTTTGAGTTCCACAGGGCAAGAAAGCTTAGAAGGGCACTCAGGAGCGGCACCTCCAATGAATCTCCAACAATCCCCCTTTCTGCTAGCCCCGTCCTGCTGCATGCCACTTAGGTCATGGTTAGTCTTTCAAAAGCATTTTCACGAGCCTTTGGGAAACTACAATTTAACTGCCCCCTTAAACATTCAAATGCCCCTTGAACAAAAAAATCCTGGCTACGGGCCTGCATGGAGGGCCACAAGCAGACAACGGCTCTCCCCCGGATAACTGTTCCCCAGCATCTGACTAGAGATATAAAATTTCCGGAAATTTTGAAGCTCGGAAAAAAACACGTTTTTTTCCCCGTTTCTTTCCGAGAAAAAACAGAAATCTTCGGAAAAATGGAAAAAAATGCTACACTAGCACTTCTTTTTTCTTTTCCAGATTGAAAGTCATCCTGTTACTTAGGAACATAAAATATGACAAGGGACGTTTTTACTTGGCATGAAATTATCACAACTAGCATATTAGAAATATAGTGTATCCAAACAATTATTACAAACAGAATACCCACCCACATGCAAAAACAAAACTGAAACCTTTTTCTTTTCCTGTCACAATAGCACCTCCTAAAGGAAGAAATGCATCTTGTTCTTGCATTGGAGAGTTCAGTTTGTAACCTAGGACTTGCTTGTCCTCAGTGCACAGAAATTAGATCAATCTGATACCATACATATTTTTTAGAAATGATTTGGGGGGAAAAATATTTTATTCATCATGTTAAAATAAAATGTTCCATAACCAATTCTTTTATTTTATTTTTTCAATTTTTCCAATTTTTTGGAAAAAAACAAAAAAAGGCTTCAGGAAAAAAAAACGGGAAAAAAACATTTTTTTCCAGAATTTTTCCGGTTTTTTCTGGGCCTTCACATCTCTACATCTGACCGTCACAGGCTTTCTTCCTGTGACCTGGATGTCATTTGGTTATCATGGCTAACCAGCAACAAAAGGCTAACCCTCTATAAATCAAGATGGGTAGCCGTGTTAGTCTCTCTGTAGCAGTGGAAAAGAGCAAGAGTCCAGTAGCACCTTAAAGATTAACAAAATATGTGGGAGGGGAGGGGCTTTCGTGGGTCACTCCTCCCTTCTTCAGATACAGCTAGAATGGGAGTCCATCTGCCCTATAAATGTGTCCAAAGTTGAATATCCTATCTTTTAGAGCAGGGGTCCCCAACCTTTTTAAGCCGGTGGCCACTACTGGAATTCTGGCACAGGGTGGTGGGTGCGACCAGAAAATGGCCACCAGGGGAGGTGGAGCCAACGACAAAATGGCCGCTGCAAGAGGCGGAACTGCACACACAGAGGGAGCCCAATGTGGGGGGAAAGGGAGGTAATGTTAAAAACAAAACCACTGGGAAAGAGGAGTGAGAAAGAATAAGACCAACCCTGTGGTAGCAGCTGCTACTGAAACAATGCTGTTTTATCTGCCCACGCAATCACATCTCCAGTGGCCAATCAGATGCCCTGCTGGGCAACTACCCCACCTGGACCCACTCACTTTCTTAAAACACTTAGTGGGCATCAGGAAAGGTGTTGGCCAGCACTGCGTTGGGGACCCCTTCGTTACAGCGCATTCCTTATTCCACCCCCCCTTCTCTCATTTGAGGAATGCACAACTCACTGGAATGCCCACTTACTATAAAGCTTCTAATCCAAGGCATGCATTCGAAACCGAAAATTTGGAACAAAAACGAGCAGAGAACGAATTGTACCATGGCACACTGTCACGGCAGATGAGAACCGTCTATTCTTTTTCCAAACCGAAATTAATTTTAAAAAAAAAAAGCCGAAGGTTTAACACACCTATCACGTCGCCTTACGCTAAATCCGATCGCTTAGAACAAGAAGAGGGGACAAAACTCTCAGGATACTGAGGGAGGGAGGAGGAGTCAGTGGCTGAGTGCAACCCCTTTTACGAGTTCCGATGGATGCCTTCGCACGACAGTGACTAATCGTGCCGCTGATTAATCCGTGCGGAAGCTGCCAGCCGATGATATGAGACTGGCAGAGGAAGAGGAGGAGGAAGAAGAAAATTCGTTTTTCGGCTCCCAGGTGCCGAAATAAAGCAAAAGTGTCAAAGCAACTGCAAAAGCAAATGCATTTCAGTGTCAAAGAACTGCTAGCAATCCCTAGATCACCACCATACAAATGAACAATTGCGTTACCTTTTCCCCACGGTGTTTATGGAGTTGGCAGCATTCCGAGCCGCGAGAGATTTCCTCCTCGACAGCTTCTTGGTGGAGCCTCTGTCATCGGCACCGTCATCCTCTTTCTTCGGCGGGCTGCCTCCTTTGCTGTTGAGGTCCCTTAGCACGTTGTAATTAATTTTACTTGAGATCTTCTTCTGTTCCAACATCTTTTCAATGGCTTCTCCCGCTGTGCTGGCCTGGATCAGCTCCCGTTTCTTTGCCGACTTCTTGGGCTTCATTTAAAATAAGAAAGAAAAGAAGAAGAAGAAAAGGGAAAAGGAACGGTTTTAATTTTGGGGGGACAATCAGAGTAATATCTTTGTGCAGCTGAAGAGCAGGCTGCGGGGTAATTGCCGTTACCTGAATACCAGCTAGTCTGAGACAAGTTGATAGGTAAAAGAATTGTGTTGGGAAGAAGCCACATTAGGTCTTATGATCGCTTCGAGGTGCCAACATTGCAAAGAATCTGGATCCTGGATGCCAGAGCTCATGGTAGAATCATGCAGATTTCTTCTTTCCAGTAATTAACATAAGAAGAACACATGAATGTACAAAGCTGCCTTAGACTGAATCAGACTATTGGTCTATCAGAAGAAGAAGAAGAAGAAGAAGAGGAGGAGGAGAAGGAGGAGGAGGAGATTGGATCTATACCCCACCCTTCACTACCCAAAGGAGTCTCAGAGTGGCTTACAATCCCTTTCCCTTCCCCTCCCCACAACAGACACCCTGTGAGGTGGGGGGGGCGAGAGAGCTCTTTCGAGGACTGCCCTTGAGAGAACAGCTCTGAAAGAACTTATGACCGACCCAAGGTCACACCAGTCGCTCCTTGGGGAATAAAACCTGGTTACATAAGAACATAAGAGATGCCAATGTTGGATCAGGCCAAAGGCCCATCCAGTCCAACACTCTGTCACACAGTGGCCAAAAATACCAGCTGCCATCAGAAGATCCACCAGTGGGGCCAGGACATTAGAAGCCCTCCCACTGTTGACCCCCCCCCCAAGCACCAAGAAGACAGAGCATCACTTGCCTCAGAGTCCCTATCTATACCTTGTGGCTAATAGCCACTGATGGACCTCTGCTCCATATGCTTATCTAATTCCCTTTTGAAGCCTTTTGGTGAAGAAGGACTTCCTTTTATCCGTTCTAAACCGACCGCTCAGCAATTTCATGGAATGCCCACGAGTTCTTGTATTGTGAGAAAGGGAGAAAAGGACCTCTTTCTCTACCTCTCTATCCCATGGTTCTCCCAGATCAGAGTCCATGTTCTTAACCACTACACCAAACTGGCTATCAGGGTCAGTATCATCTACTCAGACTGGCGTTGGCTCTCCGGGGTCTCAGGCAGAGGTCTTTTATATCATCTGCCACCTTACCTTTTAAACTGGAGATGCCAGGGATTGAACCTGGGACCTTCTTCATACCAAGCAGATGCTTTTACCCTTGAGCCATGAAAGACATGAGCCGTGCCGGATCAGACCGAAGGCCCGTCTAGTCCAGCATCCCTGTCTCACACAGGAGCCAACCAGGCAAGAAGACTGTAACAGCCTCTTTCCGCTCGGGCTCCCCAGCAATGGATTTAAAGAGGCACAATGCCTCTGGTTCTGAAGGGCACAGATACACATCATGGCTAGTAGGGTTCATGACTAGTAGTCAGAGATAGCCCTGTCCTCCGTGAATTTGTCCACTCCCTTTTTAACACCTTCCAAGTTGGCAGACATCACCACATACTGTGATGGTTTAAATAGCAATCAAAAGGCCCTCCTTTGGGGGGGGGGGCTGGTTAGTACCAAATAAAGATTTCACCTTGCCGACCATCTGATAGCCCATTTATGAAAGTGTGTGTGTGGGGGGGTTAAATTATTATTTATCTGAAACAGAACTGCTTCCTCCCATGACAGGGCTCTTGGCCTGGATTTAATTTTACTTCTAAATAATGTGATGCTGTTGTTTGCTTCAATGGGTTGTTGTAAGAAGTAGACAATATTGTCTTTTGTAGTATTTGTATTGATACAAATAGCAAGGATTGTATGTAATATAAATTCTACCATTACATTATTTATAAGTAAATTTAAAGAAGAGTCTGTGCATATTTGTTGCCATTTCATGGTATATATTTTGTTCATACCTGGTATTTTTGGCCACTGTGTGACAGAGTGTTGGACCGGATGGGCCATTGGCCTGATCCAACACTGGCTTCTCTTATGTCCTTATGTTCTTATGGATGCATTTCTTGGGCTTCATTATCAATTGCAATTCATCTTGATCTACATCTGTCAGAATATTATTCAGCAAATCAACCAACAAGAGTGTGGGGGGAAAATTGTTAATTGAAAAAGGAGAGGGCGGCTCAGTTTCCTGGCCAGGTTCTAACGTTACATACAGACTCCGGCCAGCCTGTTCACAATCATCCTTCAACCACATTCCATCTGATCAATTCTCTTCTATGCAGGGCTTCTTTTTGTAGAAAAAGCCCAGCAGGAACTCATTAGCATAACAGGCCACACCCAAAGGCAGAAATAAATTAGCATATTAGGCCACACACCCCATGCCTTCCCTTGGCTTGTCCAGGCGCCCCGCGACTGTGGGGCGCCTGGGCAAGCCGACACTTGGACAGGCCAGGGAAGGGGGGAGGCATTTAAATGCCTCCCTGATCCTTCCAGGGGGCCCGTGGCCCGCCTGCCTCGGAGTCGCCGGGGGTCGCTCTCCAGGCCTTCCCTCTGTAGCTACACACGCAGAGGTTTTGGCTGTAGTAGACGTGGCTAACTCTGAAGCCAGCCGGAACTCCGTTCCTGTGCGTTCCTGCTCAAAAATAGCCCTGCTTCTATATAAAGGGGGAACGGATAGACTTTTCAGCTTGCAGGGGGCAGGGATAAACTTTTCAGCTCGCCAGCACCTCACCTCGCACACAGGCACGTGCCGGGTCCCCCCTCTGCTCCCTCCCCCCAGGTTTTTGCTGTTGACAGATCTCTGCAGCCCTTTATTCCTACAACCTGGATCTCTCCCAAGTTGCAGGGAGATACCTCCTGATGAATATTTTTTATAAGACCTAAGGATAAAAATAAGACTCAGTACTCTGACTCGAAAAATATATCCTTTTCCCACTCAGGAAAGCCGACTTAATGGGTTTTTACTAGCTTCACTGTAGGTGTTAAGAAAGCAACAGGAATACCGAGAAGCTTTATAGGCATGGCTGCCCCACGATGCTCGAGAGATTCAGCAGCAGTTTAAGTAAAAGTAGAGAGCTGTGTTCAAGAGTTCCCACGGGACTGCTGTTCTACAGATCGGTGAGGGCAGCCAAGTGGAATACATGGAAGTCGGATATCTGCTGGTAAGCGGGCTCAGGTTAATGCGGGCCTCTGGGAAATAGCTACCCAGAACAACAACAACATTAACTAGACTCAGACTGTGCTACACTGAGAAAGGGTTCCATCAAGAGAGAGAAAATATTAAATATTAGCTCCGATTTCAATGCAGACTCATGAACACAGGACCTCTACGAAGGATGGGCGTAAGAACTGAGAACAAACTGAACGACAAGCGGCCCTCGGACAGGATAAGAGCTACAGTTCATTCCAAAAAGGGCCCCACGCAGACCACGCTTTACGGCAGGGGTCATTTCCTGCAGGAGCGCACAGGAGCGGAGTTCCGGCAGTAAAGAGCCCAGGGGGCGGGCACATGCAACAAGCCCCACCCCCTGCTCCCAGCAGCCCTCAGTCAGAGCAAGAAGCAGCCAATTAAACTGCAGACCCCCCACCCCGGCCCCCTGGTCCAAAACAGTCCAGTGGTACCTTTAAGACCAAATTTTATTCAGGTACAAGCTCTCCCTCCTCTGCGAGGACAGATCTGCATGCCCCCCCCAATAGCTAGCAATCCAAAACAGTCCAGTGGAGCCTGAGCGGTGGGTGTTGCCTTCTGACACACTTCTAGTGATGTCAGGGGGTGTGGCATATGCAAATAAGTTATGCTAATGAGCTCCTGCACCTCTTTTTCTACGAAACGACCCCTGCTTTGCGGTAACCAAAGTTAAGCATAATGATGTGCACCAGCCAACAAATGAAAGTGGTTTCCCTGACTCTCTACCAGCAAGGTGAAAAGCAGATCTCGCAGGTATCTCCCTGGGCAGGGCTTTGCCTAGGAAGCTAAACTATGGTTTTGCTGCATGTCCGTGGCTTTTTCTTTTTTCTTTGGCCACCAAGTAGCAACCGACATATGGTGAACAATGCCCCCTCTACGCTGTGGAGTCTTGTGAGTAAAAATCCTACTTTGGGAGCTACTGGCATTGCAGCTGTGAGCGAGCGATGTGGTTGCTGCATCAGTTAGTTTGCTCCGGAGCCCATCCTTCCTGAGCGAAGACAAAAAAAAAAATGTGTGAGCCGGAGGCTAAAAAACGGTGAGCTGGCTCACACTAACTCGGCTTAGAGGGAACACTGATGGTGACCCCCCCCATAGAGTTTTCAAAGGAAGAGCTGTTCAGAGGTGGTTTGCACTTGCCCGCCTCTGCGTAGCAACCCTGGGCTTCCTCGGTGGTCTCCCATCCAAGCACTAACCAGGACCGATCCTGCTAAGCTCCCAAGATCGGACGTGATCGGGCTACTCAGGTCAGGGTGTCTGTGCTCTTCACTAGGGTTAAAGTGACAAATCACTTTGAGTACTAACTGTAGTTAAACATTATGCCTGCACTGAAACGAAGTATTAGCATTCTGTCAATTTTCTCTGCTTCTCTCTCTCTCTCTCCTTGGCCTATTTATCATCTGCCTTTCTCACTCAAGGTGGACAGTATCAGGGGTGTCAAACATAAGGCCCGGGGGCCGGAACATGCCCATCCAGGGCTCTTACCCAGACACAAGCAACTGGTATATATGGAAATGTAAGGTACTCCCCCTTTTATGGTATCTCTTGGGGGGGAAACCTAGTCTTGCATATGATTAAATACCCTTACTGGGGTTTTTGTGGGTTCCCCAGTAAATTAATTCCTTTCACTGCTAGAAATATATTGCTTTGTTTTTTTATTCGGCTGAGGACAGTGACAGGACAGTATGACTTCTGGCACTCTCATATAATCTCCCCATCTCTCGCAACCCCCCCCCCCCAGGTAGGGTTGTCAAGTGAAATTTCTGCCGGAGCAGGGGACTCCCGGCCGGTGGCTTGTGCGCGTGCGCCTGCACCGCATCCACGTCACCCAGAACTGACGTGGGCACGCCGGGGGCGTGGCCATGACCGTCTGAGGGAA